TAGATTCCATCGTCGGCGGCATCAACAATTAGGTTCAGTCTGTGGTTAAAGTTTTTTTGGACAACAATAACTATGTCAAACCTACATGGAATTAGATGAAACTTGGACAGAAGCTTGTTTATGAAGAAAATACAGTATCCAGAGCAAATCTTGAAAATATTTATTTTGATTTATATATCTGATAAATGGGCTTAGTTTTTTTTTACATCCAGTCTGGGGTTAAAGTTTGTTACACATCAATTACTTTGTCAAACCTTCATAGAATTTTATGAAACTTTTTTATGATTAAGAGATAATGTCTGAAGCACACTTTCGAAGATATATTTTCATTTTCAGTATTTTTCTGATAGATGGACTAATTTTACAGTTAACATTTACTGACAGTCTGGGATTAGATTTTTTTGACACGATAAGTTTGTTAACCTTCATGGATTGTTATGAAACTTGGACAGAAGCTAATCTTTAAGACCAAGAAATAGCATCTAAAGAGAAAGTTTAAATCTTTTTTAACATTATGTATTTTACTGATAAATGGACTCACTTTTTAAGTCAACATTACACTTTTACACTGACAGCAGCAATCGTAGGCGAGACACAGGGTTCCTCGGAAACCCTTACAAATTTTGTTCCTAATAAGGGACCTAAGTGGCCGAGTGGTCTAAGTAGTCAAACAACAATATCATTTGCCTGTCAACACTGAGGTTGTGAGTTTGAAACCTGCACATGGCAGGTGTGCTTGACTCCAATCTTAATTGACTAGGATTGTCAGTTTTTACTACTGAAGGTCGGTGGTTCTCTCGGGGCACTCTGGCTTCCTCCACCAATAACTTTACTGACCTCCACAAATAGCACAATAATGCTGAATATGGTGTTAAATACCAATCAATCAATCAATTTGTACTTAGGAAATTCATATATAGTTTGAAAAGTGTTTAGATACAAATATGTACAATCTTGTGATTGAAGTGGGCAGTGGGGAACACAGAAAAGAGGACAGGGTGTTGCACTAATCTATTTTGGGATAACTAGATTATTTTAGCTTGAATGATTCAATAATTCATTTTCTATTTAATGCTAAAGTTACTTATTAAAAGTACATTATTTTTCATTCCATTAATCTGGTCATTGACATTAAAAGATATTATTGATTACTTAATTTAATGATATATATATTATATACATTGTATGTGGGTTAGGCATTCTTATTTCATGAAAACTAAAATAGATATGAACTTTTTAATTTTTTGTCCATGAATTATTTTCAGTTAAAAGGTCATAAAATGATGGCATGATGATATACAATGTATCAGATAGTTAAGAATAAATAAGAACTTGAAGACCAACTGTTTGTCAAATAAGCTATTAAGATTGACGTCACTAGCCCATATGTTTACATGTTATTGTATCATCAAATTTTAAACAAATATACTATATCCTGCTATAATAACTAAGGCTTGATTTGTTTGTATTATATAATTATAATCTTAACTGTATCCTTTTTATAAGTGTATTTATGCTGTCTGTCAGTCTGTAAGTCTGTGTTTTTATAGTTTTTATAAGATTATACTTACATGTATGCTGTCTGTTAGTCTGCATTTTTATAGTTTTTATACGACCGCAAAAAAATTTTTGTGGTCGTATATTGGTATGACGTTGGCGTCGTCGTCGTCGTCTGGCGTCGTCCGAAGACACATTGGTTTTCGCACTCTAACTTTAGTTTAGGTGAATGGATCTCTATGAAATTTTAATCTAACCGTGTATTTAGATTCTTAATTTTTGGTTCCGTTTTCAAATTGGTCTACATTAAGGTCCAAAGGGTCCAAAATTAAACTTAGTTTGATTTTAACAAAAATTGAATTCTTAGGGTTCTTTGATATGCTGAATCTAAACATGTATTTAGATTTTTTATTATGGGCCCAGTTTTCAAGTTGGTCCAAATCGGGGTCCAAAATTAAACTTTGTTTGATTTCAAAAAAAATTGAATATATGGGGTTCTTTGATATGTTGAATCTAACCATGTATTTAGATTTTTGATTTTTGGGCCCCGTTATCAACTTTGTCCACATTGAGGTCAAAAGGGTCCAAAATTAAACGTTTTTTGTTTGATTTCATCAAAAATTGAATTCTTGGGGTTCTTTGATATGCTGAATCTAACCATGTATTTAGGTTTTGGATATTGGACCATAATAGGTGAATGTCCAATTTAAAATTTTTAAGTTCTTAGACCACATTCATTCTGTGTCAGAAACCTATGCTGTGTCAAATATTTAATCACGATCCAAATGCAAAGCTGTATCAAGCTTGAATGTTGTGTCCATACTTGCCCCAACTGTTCAGGGTTCGACCTCTGCGGTCGTATCAAGCTGCGCCCTGCGGAGCATTTTATTATAAGATTATACTTACATGTATGCTGTCTGTAAGTCTGTGTTTTTGTAGTTTTTATAAGATTTTACTTATGCTGTCTGTAAGTCTGTGTTTTTTAAGTTTTTTTAAATGTACTCACATTGTCTCACTCTGTCAGTCTGTTTTTGAGATGTTCTAAATGTACTTGTACATTGAAGACCCATTGGTGGCCTTCGGCTGTTGTCTGCTCTATGGTCAGGTTGTTGTCTCTTTGACACATTCCCCATTTCCATTCTCAATTTTATTGGATGTGGTTTATAAGTGTTTCTCGTTTCTCGTTTTTTATATAGATAAGACCTTTGGTTTTCCCGTTTGAATGGTTTTACACTAGTAATTTTTTGGGCCCTTTATAGCTTGCTGTTCAGTGTGAGCCAAGGCTCCATGTTGAAGGCCGTACTTTGACCTATAATGGTTAACTTTTATAAATTTTGACTTGGATGGAGAGCTGTCTCATTGGCACTCATACCACATCTTCTTATATCTATTGGGTAATCTGTTAGTCTCTGTTTTGGGGTTTTTCTAAATATACTTCCGTTGTCTGTCAGTCTGTGTTTTTTTAGTTTTCTTAGTGCATTTATTCTTCTTTTGAGTTATTCTTAGTGTATTTATGCTGTCTGTCAGTCTATTTTTGAGTTTAAAAAAAGACTAGATATGGTTTGGGGGAGGTTTAACTGTGATCATCTAAAACTTTACACTCGGGTATAACATGAAGTAATAGATCATTGATGGGGAGAAGAAATTCTATCAATAGCTTAAATCAAAGGAGGAAAACAATGGACATTGCAAAGTTAGTGGTTTGCCTTAAAATCAGAAAACTTGCTTTGTTTTAGGTAAATGTTACCTCTCGATCACTGCTAATTTTGAAACCTGTTACAGTTTTATGCAGAAGTGAAAAATATATAAAGTAATTTATTGACTGATCTCATTTCCACCTAAGTTTCCATAACAATCCATCAATTTAAACGGAAATGCAAGACTTTTATATTTGTGTGATAAATTATAATGGAAGATCATCAGAGGCACAAAATAAATACATCGCTAGAGTAAAAGACGTAATGAATGTTCATGACGTGAGGTAAAGGTGACATGGGGTCATACAAATAATAAGAAGATAAGACCATTTGATCATACATGACCTCTTTTCATTCATGCTGTTGTCAGTTTATGAAACATATTTATAGTTCAAGAAAATTCATGACTCCACTACATGAGGCATTTCTTTCCATTTCTGATTTGCTGATATACTGGCTGAAGTACATACATGCATTGAAAAATTTTAAGGCTTTTTGTAACGCTGAAAAACTGAAAGGCTTTTATGACACGGAAAAGACAGCTTTTGAGAACTCATTTTCACCTGAATAAGTTGGTGTTTTTCAGTATTTGTTACAAACTTAATAGCTGAATGATCAATTGTTTAGGGCTTTTGGTTAAGGGATCTATTTATAAATTTCACTTTAGCTTCCTGTATATTTTAAAGTCTCATCTGAAAATTTCACTTTAAATAATCTCCCAAGAAAGACAAAAAGAGCTTTTTCAATAATTTTTGCCTGAAATCATAAAAGAAAGTTATTCAAAGTCTGATTTATAATGACAACAACACTAGCTGGGTATTTTATGTGTTTACATTAGAGATTATTTTTCTACATTTATCATGTCCATTTAGATGAACAAGTACTGAAGAGGCTAGGTAAATGACATCACCTATCTGTAATGTTTACAAACATGACCTGTATAAAACAAACAACATGTAGAGGATGTAAACAATTACAATTATAGTAAATTACTACATAATACAGTCAAAATAATTGGCCAAAACTTGGGCAGTTGTATTCAAGATACTAATTTGAAATCATTAGGGTTTGGATTTATAAGACTCCCGACTTTCTCTTTAGTTTCTATTGTGATATACATACAACAATCAATGAATTAAGTTTCTGTTATTAAACTAGATTTATTAATCAAACATGTAGAATTATTAAAGTACATATAAGCAAATGATAAGAATATTAAGACTATAATATTCTAATTGAATATGTGTATAAGGTATTGACTAGATGTGAGTCAGTGATTCAAACGAACCCATTAATTGTAAAAATCATATAAATGTTATGGTAACCTGACTAAATAGTTTTAGAAACTGAACAAAATTTTTTTTTCTTCCTATAAAATGACTGTTTGAACTTTTTGCTGACTGAAACAGAAAATCTGTCTGGAAAAGTGTTATGTGTTGTAAGTCTGGTGAATTCTTAGCATTATTAAATGGTTTGATTCCTTAATCAATGCATTACATGGAAAGTTTTAGTTATTTATCTTTACAAAGGTATTACATTTCATGCCTGACTTAAACTTTAGTCTGGAATGATACAAATATACATGTCTGAAAATCATAAGTCTTTGTGTTTGGCAAACTGTTGTCGATTTCAGTCAGCAGGAACTCCTTTGTATAAAACACATGACTAAGGTGTATTTTAATTCAGGTCCTCAGTAAATGAAGGAAATCCTTTCCATCACAAGTTGTAAGTAAAATGTGGTTTTCAGTATTCTGAAGATAAATCAATTTCATTGGATCTTCATTGTTTTTGTATTTGTATTTTCAGAATGGTAGTAACCCAAAGCCCAGTATTCAGTTTCAAGGCAGTCAGGGGGTAAGTATATATATCACATATTTTTCCAATAATAGCCGGAAATCAGAGTCCGTTATTTGTTCTCAGGGCAGTCTATTTTTGAAGTCTGTATGTTGACCTATAAATGTTTTTTGGTTGTGATGTTTTGTTGTTGTTTCATGGACCCCACATCTCTTTAATTCAAACGTACAATCTAGAACTTGGTGTAAGAATGCAGGTCAGAGAAAGCCTCTGTCCTAAGATTAGATAACACTTCAGACTGGTATTAATTTATTTATTGTTTTAATTCTTATTTTAAGTTTATCAAGTAACTTTCAATTATTTTGGAGATGTAATCTTAAAAAATCATTTTCTTTTTTTCAAAATGCTGAACAGTTTAATAATTAAAACATATGCTAATAAGAAAATTAAGCTTGACCTATTCTGCTTTAACATGGAAAATTTCATTAAAATCAGACTAGAAATGAGTTCATGAGACGTTTCAATGCCAAAACAAGATCATTACTGAATAAGTTTATCATGAAACTCCATCTCTGCATATATTACAAATGACTTTATTGAACAATAGTTATTATACTGTAAAAACCCACCACTACATACATATCTCTTACAACCTATATATATAGCTAATGACCACCAACATATGGTCTTATTATAGCTGTTTTCTAAGCTTATGTAGATTTTGACCATAATGTAGTGTAGAATTTATAAAAACTTCAAGTGTTACATACAATCATGATGTTTGAGTCTATAAATGTAAGTTTTACTGTACAAGTATACAACATGATATAATGACATATAGTGAAATGAACGTCTTTGATTTATTCTTCATATTTTACTGTGTCACACAACACTTTATGTGACTCTTACATACATGGCATGCATTATAAATATTATAGGTCCAATAAGAATTTAAATTGTGCTTTTAAAATATTTGTGCAACGACAATCTCAATAATTTTTGTGTCCAGTGAAACTAGATATGAAAGTTGTGACATGGTGTAACATGTACATCCATCATTGATTGGTGAGATTAAAGCTTTCTTATATATATATATTGTGTCATTCCATAGTCAACATTTTGTTTTCTTCAAATATTAAATTCAGCTTTTGATATTGTTAAGATTATATATCAACTCTTAAGTGGGGGCTATTTAAATTTGCATTGACCTTGTCTGTTATTCTAACAAATATTCTGGTCACACTTTACTTGAGTACCACTGAACAAAATTACTTCATATTTGATCATATTTTGTCAGCAGCTTTATGTTTATGTATTTAAAACCCAACTGTGTGTTAAAGATCAAATGCAATTTATGCACTTATCATTTTGTGATTAATGATATATAGGTTCTATGTCAAATACATGATTATTTGTTATTATGAGGTGTGAAGCAGGCAGTTTTTGAGAAAAAATTCTTTTATTTAAGAATGCATTGCTTTGATTATTTTTAAAAAGTTGCCTTTTGTCCACATGGCACAGTACACATGGTATATATAACCTTTAAGCTTAATAGGGCAGGTATTTGACCTTTGTTTTACACCTGTTGTCAGTTTGTTCACCTGTCATTTTACAACTGGATATAATCAGGGTTTCAATACGTTGACCTGTTTAAACCCTCAAGATACATGTACATGATAGAAAATAAACATGCAATATTACATTTTATCTGTAACATTCTGTATAACCTTACTTCCTGTACAACCAGTTTGCTATGCACGTACTTGTGATCTAGTTATTTATTTATGCAGAATGAACCACATTTTAATATGTATATTGTTCCTTCATTTGAAGATTGATTGTTAAATTATAAAAAAAAAGTCTGTTTTTGCAGTGGATATAAATATTATGAATCATTATACATGTACATGTATTACTGATGCTACCTACTATTAGTAAGGGTAACTGGACTCAGGTATTACCAATGCTTTCTACTATTAGTAAGGGTAACTGGACTCAGGTATTACTGATGCTACCTACTATAAGTAAGGGTAACTGGACTCGGGTATTACCAATGCTTTCTACTATTAGTAAGGGTAACTGGACTCAGATATTACTGATGCTACCTACTATTAGTAAGGGTAACTGGACTCTGGTATTACTGATGCTTTCTACTATTAGTAAGGGTAACTGGACTCAGGTATTACTGATGCTACCTACTATTAGTAAGAGTAACTGGACTCAGGTATTACTGATGCTTCCTACAATTAGTAAGGGTAACTGGACACAGGTTTTACTGATGCTACCTACTATTAGTAAGGGTAACTGGACTCAGGTATTACTGATGCTACCTACTATAAATAAGGGTAACTGGACTCTGGTATTACTGATGCTTTTTACTATTAGTAAGGGTAACAGGACTCAGGTATTACTGATGCTACCTACTATTATTAAGAGTAACTGGACTCAGGTATTACTGATGCTACCAACTATTAGTAAGGGTAACTGGACTCGGGTATGACTAATGCTTTCTACCATTAGTAAGGGTAACTGGACTCGGGTATTACTGATGCTACCTACTATTAGTAAGAGTAACTGGACTCAGGTATTACTGATGCTTCCTACTATTAGTAAGGGTAACTGGACAAAGGTATTACTGATGCTACCTACTATTAGTAAGAGTAACTGGACTCAGGTATTACTGATGGTATCTTCTATTAGTAAGGGTAACTGGACACGAGTATTACTGATGCTTTTTACTATTAGTTAGGGTAACTGGACTTAGGTATGACTAATGCTTTTTACTATTAGTAAGGGTAACTGGACTTAGGTATGACTAATGCTTTTTACTATTAGTAAGGGTAACTGGACTTAGGTATGACTGATGCTTTTTACTATTAGTAAGGGTAACTGGACTTAGGTATGACTAATGCTTTCTACTATTAGTAAGGGTAACTGGACTCTGGTATTACTGATGCTACCTACTATTAGTAAGGGTAACTGGACTCAGGTATTACTAATGCTACCTAATATTAGTAAGGATAACTGGACTCTGGTATTACTGATGCTACCTACTATTAGTAAGGGTAACTGGACTTGGGTATTACTAATGCTACCTACTATTAGTAAGGATAACTGGACTCTGGTATTACTGATGCTACCTACTATTAGTAAGGGTAACTGGACACGGGTATTACTGATGCTACCTACTATTAGTAAGGGTAACTGGACATGGGTATTACTGATGCTTCCTACTATTAGTAAGGGTAACTGGACTCTGGCATTACTGATACTACCTACCATTAGTAAGGGTAACTGGACACGGGTATTACTGATGCTTTCTACTATTAGTAATTAGGGTAACTGGACTCAGTTATTACTGATGCTACTTACTATTAGTAAGGGTAACTGGTCTTGGGTATTACTGATGCTACCTACTATTAGTAAGGGTAACTGGACTCTGGTATTACTGATGCTACCTATTATTAGTAAGGGTAACTGGACACGGGTATTACTGATGCTTCCTACTATTAGTAAGGGTAACTGGACTCTGGTGTTACCCATGCTTCCTACTATTAGTAAGGGTAACTGGACTCTAGGATTAGTAAAGATTATCTAGGGTGAGATAGGTTTTTGGAGTGTCACATGATAAACAGATTGTTTTTGACTCACCTGCAAGGAAAGTTGTAGAATGAGAGACATAGGGTTTACAATCAGGCAGCGGTGATAGCATAAACTATTAGTATAAAGCTTTATATTTCAGAAGGTAGAAGACCTGGATGCTTCATACATTGTATGGAGATACCTTTTGTTATGAAGTTTTCTTCTGTCATATGCCCATTGTCCTTGATTTCATTTTCATGGTTTAGTGAACTGTTTGAAAAAATATATATGTGTATTTTTATGCCTCTGCCATAGCGGAGGGGACATTAAGATTAACCCTATACGTCTATGTCTGTCTGTACGTCCCAATACTTGTAGTTTTATGCAGGCAAGTGATTGCCGGACAGCACACAAGTTAAATTTATAAATGAAACTGGCTTATTTTTGGTTTAAAAGTAAATTTTACAACAACTTAAACTTAGGCAATAAATTATTACTTGCATGACAGTCACAAAATTGTTACATAATTAAACAGTTGACATGTGTTGGCAATAATCAAGGTTATCAGTTTTCATTTCCACATCAGATTGTAGGTCACAAAGTAAGATTAATGCATGATCAAAACAAAGTTGTAAAACTCATCATCAAGAGGTTCCCTTACCTTGTGAGAGTTTTAACCATGACCTTTAGATGTATTTTGGTTATTTTTGTTTATGGACTGCTGGAGCCTTCTATTTTAATTTTTTGGGCCATCATATTTTCCTGTTTTACCATTGATATTTAAACTTTTTTTTTGAAGTTTTGTTTTTTTAAATCCTTATCCTTGTCAATACATAGATGTCAGGTGAAAATAAAGACTCCTGATTGTATTTATAATTGTGTAGTATAAATATGCAGAAGCCTAAATATGAGTTATTTTTGTGTACCTGTTGACAAGGTAGTTGGTATACCATTGTCCCTCTGATAATTGTTAGAAAACAACTATAGCATCTTTTTCTGAATTATGTCACATATCGTAAATATATAAGATGTGATTATTTAGTTAAATTAATACCCTCCTCTATGATCAGTGAACAGTAAAATTATATATTTTATGACGTGTGTTAGATCTCCTACTGTCATGACTGGAATTTAAACCTTATGTTTTGGTCTGATTCCCGGAAATATAATTCATATTTAGATTTAACTTCTTGTGGGGATAGGTTTCATTGAAAGGACCCACTCAGAATATAATAAGAGAATTATGTGCGTGTGTGTGTGTTTGTTAATTGTTCCTGTGGCCTCCATTAATGCACAATATTGTACAGATAAACCCACTCAATAAGCTGTAATATTCAATTAGTTGTCGACAGACATGGGGTAATTATTCTAAAAGTCACACTAGGTTTTAACCAGTTAAAGTTTATCAGTAAATATACCTAATAGCTAATTATTAGATCTTTTAAGCTTTGGGATTTTGAAAATAGATACGTCAGTTA